GGTCAGATGGTCAGTGCTGTCGGTCATGTAGTAAATGGTGGTCCTCTTTGTCTTGCTGTGGTGTGACAGATGCTGCTGCTGCTGACGTCTTCCAAGTGGAAACTCTGCCAAGTCTCTGTTAGGACCAGCTGTGACTGAGCAGGAAACAACATGACTCTACATCTACATTTATCCTACAATACTCCATAGTGGGTTTTTGTTGCTAGTATACCTTAACAGTGTCGACGCTTTCTTTTTCCCCATTTCTTTTTAAAGTCAGAGCGTGTCCGTGTCACAGCTTTGACATGGGTCTTGACAGCACTGAGTCTGTGCTGTTCTGTGCTCGGCGCTGATAATGGCTCGAAACCAATGAAACATGGCTTAGCAACAAGCTCGCAGGACTATTTTTGGTTTCAGGCAATTATTCACAATCCAGTGTGATGGTGTGGTTCTGTGACACTTCCCTGGTGTTCTGTGGTGGCAATGTCTGCACCGATGTCAGACGTCTGCAGGCTTCCCCTGAACGACTATAAATAGTCCTTCACCTGAAGTAACCCTTTTTTCTTTCTATATTTTATTCTGACCACAATGCCAGAAGGCAAACTGAAAGAAAAAACGGAAGAAACATAGAGCCACATAGAATTAAAGAAAATGTTTGGTGTGTTTTTTTAATCTGCAGTGACCCTGTCCTATGACTGCATGTTATCCCTGTTAGATTTTTTGGTCAACAGCCTAAAGCATAGCCAGAGATTGTTCACTTGACCTGACCCTCTACCTGGAGAACACCCCTACATCAGTACAGTATACGCAGGAAGAACACGCAAAGACCATTAGTCATCAACAGGGATCGAACTGCTGATGTTCCTGCTGTAAGGCAGCAGCACCAACCACCCTTCTGCTTTAAAGCCCTGGGCCAAAACTGTAGCTTCGTAACGTTTTGAGAACGTAGTTGTAAATTACTGTAGCATTTATTGGCCAAATGGAAGTGGGTTGAGTTCCAACCAAGAAAACCTGTTGCATCCAGTACCAACTGATGCCAAGTCAGAATAAATCTGTTACAGTGATGAAGAGGAGAAGAGATCAGCCCTGGAGTACCTCCCCATGGTCAACCACTCAACCTTCTTGAAAGTGAACTCCTTGTCATTGTGACACAGCACACCACTGCAACAACCAAATGTGACCTCTGCTTTTAACCCATCACCAAAGTGAACAGTGGGCAGCTTTAGGGGGAGCAGTGTGTGGGGACGGTGCCATGATCAGAGCACCTCAGTGGTAACTGGGCAGCTGATGAACACTGAAGCCTTCTGGACCCAAGTCCTCTTCCTTAACCAATAAGCCATCACTACCTCTTCTACTCACTAGCAGTATCATACAGATTCAAAGTACCGTACTGTAATGTGGTGGTTCACAACGTGTGTTTACTCTAAGAGAAATCACAAGACATGTAATGAGGCTTGAAGTACAATCATTGTCCTGTAGGGGTCTGTTCCAGCAGCAGTCACTGGGAATGTAGTCCATTAGCTAACGTGCCACAGGGCTGAGCTGCTGGACCATTACTACTGCAGGAGCCAGGGATTTGGACTCACTGACACTAAGGCTGAAACATGACTGACCCATGATGTTTAGGACCTGGTGCTGTCCAAATATGGGTATTACCTCCAACCACTTTGGGACTGGATAACTCAGTGCTGTTCTGCAATTTGTAGCATTTTCTAGGACCACTAGTTGGCCCTATGGTGCTCGATTTACTGACACATTTACAACATTTTCATGTACGTTCTTCGTGCATGGAGGTGTACACTGACTAATTAGACGTAGTGATCATTTCTGTCAGACACAGGCGTTTATTTCAGGCAATCCAAATTCACTGAGTGATGTAACAGCAGCTGCTAAAATAATATTTAAAAAAAGAAAAATGAGGACATTAATAACTAAACAAATTCACATAGAACTAAAATATATAATTAGCTCAGGTGTGTAATGTGTTAGTGTGTATGTGAAAAGAAATAGCTAAGAGTTAGCCAAACTAGCTCAAAGGTGCATCAGAACTAACTAAAGGTTATCAGAGCATAGCATACACCGTAAAAATAGCTAATTGTAGCAATAGTCATTAAGGTACAACTGGTATGGGAGAAGAATCATTTTCAGCTTGTCTGTTTACCAGTCTGGACAGTCCTTCCTGACACAACCCAACCTGGGATGTGAGACCAGGAGGTATTGAACCCACAGTGGTAGGCAGGTTTACTGCCACTGCACCACAGTAATGCTCCACTATAAAATATGAAAAATATCCTAATTATATAACAATATTTACATTAAATATATATATATATATATATTTAAAAAACCTAAATGGTAGCTCTTCAGCTTAGCTTTTATAAAAACTGATTTACAGACTCTGTGTTCATCTACTGAATGTGAGCATGTGACTTTTTTAATCCGACCAGAATGTTGAGATTATTTCTTGGAGTTCATTAAAACACTTCCTCATTTATCCAGGTCTTAAAGGAAAACAAATCGATTAATAACGTTCCATGTGGGATCAAACTGTGGCGGTCAGTGTTGATGCTCATTGGTCAATGTTCTTATCCGCAGTAACTTCCGCTGTAAGTCTGACTTTGTCCTGTAAACGTTTCCATTCTCTTTTTATTCTGCTGCGTTCGGCGTTGTTGTTCTCCACTTTGTGGCGTTGTGCTGTCGCTGTTGATGTTGTTGTTTCCTTCTCAAGGTTATGTGTGAACATTTACTACACTGAGCCGCTGAAGTCATTTGGCGAGCAGGAAACTGCGTTTTGATTGGTTGATGGTTGATGGTTTTTCTGCTTCAGAGGAAGTTAAGGCCTCGCTTTTGACACTTTCAATGACATCAGAACTCTACGCCGCTGCTTTCCCCTGGATGTAAATCACTTTCCAACAACAGAATTAATATTTAAAGCCTGGAAGAGCTCGGCCGTCTGCTGCAGTTATCCAGCTGCTGCAGCGGCTGAGAGGAGAAAATTAAAGCTCTGGTGTGATGGAGCATGAATGAGGTCAGTGCACAGTTAAGTCAGTCATCGACATGCACATGCTTTTACTATGCAGTGTCACATTCCTTCATTGTTCCAGCTGTGATTCCCCACAGCTGGAACAATTATGACCCACCTGAATATTGGATATGACAGACTGCACATCCCTCAGATTCTTTACAGGCATCAGATCAATGTTATATAAATGTAAATGAACGCTCCATTTTTGTGTAGTGTGTATTTTCCCTCCATCTGATGAAGCAGTCGGTGTTTTCTGCTTCTTCAGTGGTAATGGTCTCAAATGGTAAGGGCCACTAAGAAGGTTCCGGATGTGATCCCACCAGGAAGGGCATCTGGTGTAAAACCATCAGCCAAACCTGATGCAAAATCTGTGCATTGTGAACGTAGCGGTTAACACACCTGCCTTACATGCAGAAAGTCCTGGCTTTCAACCCCAGAGGAACCTTCTAAGTTATTGTGCACTATGGTTGTATTTGTTTGTTTTTACCCAGTGCATTCAGAATGTATTCTTGTGTGTCCATGTTGGGTCAAACATCCAGAGTAATGGACAGTGTGATAATAAACAAAATTCAAAAACCACATACTCATTATGCGTTGCTGACGCGCTGATGCTGCAGTGTGTGCTGGGAAATTAGCCTAATGGTCACTGTGACCAGCTCCATTCATCTTTCTTCTGACCTCTGTTTAAGGTCAGAGTTCACAGGTCAGCCCCAGCTGCCCGCTCAGACAGAATGTTTCTTCTTCTGCACCTCTCTGTCCATTTCCTTTGAACTCTTTGTTCCTGCAGCTGTTTTTGTTTCGTCTCCTTTATCTGTTTTCACCTCAGTCTAGACGTTTTTACAGATCACTCTGTCATTATGGGATGTGTCTGATTAAAGAGGCTTTAAAGAAAATGCTGTTTCACTGCAGTGACTTTGAAAGGTCTTTCAGGCGTGTCCTCAGACTTCAGCGACCACACACTGGTTAGGACAGATCTGTTACAGCTGATCACTGTTACACTGTCTGCTGTCAGCTGTATTAATTAAAGCCAGGGGAGGCAACATATGTCTGTCACTGCGCTGCATTCATTTCCTAATAGTCTTCCAGCTTCATGCAAGTCAAATAACGTGTGTAGGAATGACACGTCTGCGCCTCCCCCTGGGTGGTGTTCTGCAGAGTTTGGGAAATCTGGGTGCTGATGGAAGACGTTGACAAATCACAGGGGCAGTTCAGAGAGAGGTCACTGTGATTGGCTGTTTAATGAAGCAGCTGCAAAGGTCACTGTTTCAGCACTGATTTATAGGGCTGCCAAGGTTAAAGCGATTATAACAAGTTAACGCAAATGGAAGTGAGAAAGCAATCAAGCGAAGCAGCAGTAACAAAAAGGGAATGCGCCACACTAGGTCAGCGCCTTGACGCAACTCTGTTTTTCGTTCATTTTGATTGGTTACGGATAAAAACAGCCATGAAACACATCCACCTGCTGTTATTTTTCTCTCTGTTCCATCAGTATAAAAAATATTATTTTTTTGACATTTAAAAGCAGTCTCACACTCCCGGCTCGTGGGAATATTTTGGTCCATGGACCACCAAAGTCTGGCCTGCAACTAGATTCAATCCGACCCTTGCTGTTTTCCTTTGGCCCTCCAATGAGACGACAAGTACAACAATGGAGTTCTGGAGTTCTGTCCTCAGATCTGGTGAGAAAGATATGACCCAGAATTCCAAAGAGAAGGAATTCTCTGATTGAAGAAGTGTCCAGACTTAAATAAAGGACAAAGAGTAATATCTTTTTATTGTCTTGTCTGTATTTTTTTTTTTTTTTTTTTTGAACCAGTATGAGATCAACGTAAAGACCATCACACGTTGATTCAATCACCCGTCTCCTGGCTGCTGTGCGATTCAATAAGCGGCGCTGAGAAGATGCAGCATCATGATCAACTTGATGAAGCCTGAGGATTTGTCTGCTCCTCCTCCTCCGTCTCACCTGTTTTCCTCCCCCTCTGTTTGTCTGCAGGGTGTTGATGGAGAGCCATTCGAATGACAGCCGGGACGGTGGTCATCACTGGTGGAATTCTAGCAACAGTAATACTACTCCTTATCATTGCAGTACTGTGTTACTGCAGGCTGCAGGTGAGCCCGTGTTGGCAGTGTATTACTGCAGTTGTACTTCAGTGATCATCACAGTACTCTCTTCATCCTCTGAAAGTGTTGGCTGCACTTTTTTACCCCAATCCCATCTTTTCATTTCCAGGTATCAATCCTCCACAATCTTCTGGATCTGTCACTTTAAGAGGATTATTTTCCTCACACTTCAGTTGTATTCAGAGTCAGCGGCAAAGGATTAGCAGCAGAGGGGATATTTTTGGAGATCTGCCTTGAGGATAAATTTACAGATTTGTGATTTGAAGTTGGTTTTTTATAATCCTGACTTTGCTCTCAAACTTACAGAAGTGATTGTCACGGATCATCACAGGAAAAGCTCTTCAAACTCCAAATTGTAGCTTAACAAGTTAATATCGGAATCGAATTTACCTCCAGGGGGAGTTGTTGGTGTTACTGCTGCTCCTGCAGGAGCATTAAAAAGTGATAGAAATTAACCAGTAAGAAATTGAGATATTGAGAAATATATGTATAAAATACAAAAACTCTTTTGGACAATGATTTAATGACAACTATGAATATATACAGCACTGCGTGTAAATGTGTAAAAGCTGCACATTTAAATTGACTCACTGTTGGAACTGTTGGCTGTGAACTATTAATCCAACCAAGACTCTTGAAAAAAAAATACTGTTTTTTTTTTTTAAATCAACATTCCTATTAGAAAATTCAGCGGACAAAAGTCATTTTTGCTGGGCTAAATAAGTCAGAATTGAATTTATGAAAAAGTTGTCCCTGTGACCCTTTTCTCAGAATTGTAAGACAAACCTAATAATACTTAGCTAATAAGAATAATAATAATAATTCAACACTAGAAAAAAGTCTGAAAATCAGCTAAGAAAAATCAGAATCAAAAGAAAAATAGTTCATACGAATGAACATATTTCTGAATTGTGAGGAAAGTGAACATTCAAAGATGAAAAAGTTTGAAGTGATTCACAGAAGGCTGACATTCACATCATTATTAAAAGATTTGAAATTAATTCTCTTTTCAGTTTTTATAATATTTTTAGAAAAAAAGTTAAGGGAAAAATACTTGTAAAGAATGTTCAAAATGAAGTTTAGTAAGTTGGGATCCTGATCTTTCAGTGAGAATCCCACCCAGAGGTTGTTAATGTGAATCATACTGATGACGTACGGTGCTAGTTATTGCCTTTCATACATTTCAATTATGTATATTGTTTTTAAAAAAATCACACAGGTTTTTAAATTATTATTTTTTTAAAAAAGCAGTGTTGTGTGAAACTTGTCTGCAGTTTTTTTTATTTACTCATTTCGGGCTAGCATATCCCCATGTCGATGGCTAAAGGACAAACCTTCTGATTGATGAGAACGAGAAAGGACGCTCACATTCAATCTGTCTGCACGATATTCTCCCACAGGGTGGTGACAGAAGAATAATAAGAAAACATATCCAGTTATGTTTAGAAATACTGCAGGAAAATAATATTCCTTAAAATAATGAATAAAAACAAACAAAAAATATAAAATAAAAAAGATAAGATAAATTAAAATAGAATTTAAAATAAATGGTGTAACTACCATCGTCAATATCATAATGTATTGATCCTCAGTTGTTGAGACTGTGATGTGAAGTGATTCAACCTCATGGTAATTATCATGAACAGAGTTTTAAATGTAGCGCACAGTAATGAAGATATGGATGAATCTCGATGGTAATGAGCGTGGATGAGAACATGACTTTAATATACTGTGTCCATCCACGGTCATTAAGATAAAACTCGCCCAGTGACTGGGGTTCCTGATGCCCATTCACAGGAGAACAGATTATTACAGCGGTGGAGAATTCATCCTGAGGCAATTTTCCAAATATGTCAAAAGTCTGTGATAAATTTTTTTTTTCTTTAATTTGCACCCTGTGTTTCAGGTTGGAAGCTCTTCTTCAGGATGGTGCTGCTAAATCTTTCATTAATCCTAATCTCTTATCTTAAATCGTACCAGATTTAGTTTTTATTTTCTATTTTTGTGGCAGATTTAACAAAAGAAAATATAGTTTATTGACATAAGTCCAGCCATGTTTTTCTAAATAAGGAATACAATAAAGATATTTTCAGAGTAAAGCAAAAACCTTTGAACTAAGTGGAAAAAATAACACAGATTTGAAAGTCTGTTATTATAGTTTAGTTTCACCCCTGCATCCAACAAGTGATTAATGTAATTTTCTTTATCACCACAAAACTGTGATCTCAACACCCACCTTCTGTTTGAAATATTAATAATAAAAGTATATATATAATAATCAAGATGATGGAGTGTTCTGCTGATGTAGAGCCCTGATGTTTTCAAAAGAATCTAACGCTCTTGTTAAACCCTCGTTTTTAGCAGTCAAATACTCCCCTGGGTGTTTTTAAAGCCTGGCTGCTGGTGTGATTGCTCTCACAGGAAACATTACACAGTGTCCATGTATACTCCATGCAGTTCAGTCTAATTAATGAGGCGCACTGTCTTTATGACTGAGTCAGACTTTATTTCCTGGATGTGATGTTCATACGTGATGAGTGGGAAGTTAATTTCAACAATATTTTTGGTTTCTCTTTTTGGATTTTGTAAAGAGAAAAATGCTTGGTTTTATAGGTCTAACCCACGGGTGTCAAACTCCTGGCCTGGGGGCAACGTCCGGCACACCAATCCCCAACATCTGGTCCATGAAGATATTTTAATAATATTTTAATCTCGTCCTTTGGGCACTTTTGTATTTGATTTATTTTGAATTTTTCAGCTACTAAAATACCCTACATTTATATGAGCTGTTCACACTGTAGTACTACAAGGTATTTTATTTTTGTGACTAATAATCTCTCTTTTCTTTATCTCTCCTCCATCTCCGTCTGTCAGTATTATTGCTGTAAGAAGGAAGAGTCCGAGTCGGAGGAGGAGGAGCCAGACTTTGCCGTCACGTCCCGCCTCCCCCCGGTCCACTCCAACCACAAAATAGTGGCGGCCCCCCCCCCCCCCCCCCCCCGCCCCATCCCACCCACAACATGGGGGCGCCCCCCGCCGCCGCTTCCTCCATACCCAATGGCCCCGCCCTTTTCTCCACCCCTCCGCTGGCCCGGAAACTGACTCGGTCCCAGACCTTCTGTCCGTCATGTACACACTATGAGATGCCATTTTACCTCCAGCCTCCTCAGCCCCAGGTCCATCACCAGCCAGATGGACTGAGGAACGGAGGCGAGCGGATCAGCTATCGCAGCGTCCAGCAGCAGGACCTGGAGCTGCCCGTGCCTGTGAACATTTCAAACTATCGCAAACCCAACCTCTCGCGCTCCGTCACCATGCGGGACATGTTCACGCGCAGCTGCAGCATCAGCACTGATGTTTAGCTGTGCTGGTATGGACCAGACGTGGGTTGGGAAGGTTTGGGTTGGACTGCACTTCTGTCTTCAGACTTTCTGTTGTCTTGGCCACTTTAGTCCAGTTTAATGTGGTTTTACTGTAGTCTGCTTTCATTCTTCTGGTTTCCTCTTGCAGAACAAGGACGGTGGCTCTCAGGATAGCATTTTAAGGTACTATGCTCAGGTCCAGGATTGTATATCTGGGCCACAATAGAAATATTTATGGGAATTTTAATGTTATATATATATATATATATATAACCCAAAACTCTGCTCTCTAGCTTTTTTAAAAGAAGGTTTTATTTTAAGGTTTGATGTGTGAAACCTTATTTCTTGTGGACTCTGCTACCTATGAACACACACACATCGACTCCCACGGTGTCGAAATGACCCGTCCGGCAGGGATTTACTCTCTACCTTAGCTGCTACCAGCAAAACAAGATTAGGAGACAGGAGAGATAGGATGGCCACGACTCAGATGTCAAGTTTTAGCTGCCTCCCAGAAATATGTCTGATAGATCCAACTTAAGGCCATACTATATCTAGAAATAAAGGGCTCAGAGGAAAGGACAAAGTCAAATCCCTGCCTGTTTTCCACACACTTTCATAGAAAACTGGTTTTGATGAGTGAATATGGTGCATACACCTGAACAAACGACACAAGAGCTTGGTGTTGGTGCAGGTGAGGTGGGCAATAGGTGCCAAGTGGGTGAGGTTCTTGCATGCATGTGTGTGTGTATGAGTTGTTCGTTGTTAAACTAGCATCCTTATTCTGCATATTTAAACGTATTTTGCTAACCCTTCGTATCCAGAACCCAGTGGTGGGTTTGCAATAAATATTAATTTTAAAGGGTGAATTATAACAATTTCTAATTCCAGCCGATGCTGAAGTCATGCTGATACAAAGAATCACCCATGCAGCTGATATGAAAAACTCTGTGTAGGATTAAAGTAGAAATCTAGCTTCTTTGTTATAGCACGTAGCACTGGAGTTGAAGACTACAGAGAAAAATCTAAAACATTTGGAACGTGGCTGTGACTTTTCTTAGTCACAGTGTGGTTTTGAAGGACCCCTAACTTTACCTTAACTGGACACACCAGAGACCTAACCCGGACTTAAAATATCCACAGTGCAAATGAACTACAACATAGTCTAGTGGCCATGTTGCCCCGCTGCCTGGAGGCTTTGCCAGCCTGCAAATGAATCAGCAAAGAAGAAATCCCTTAAATGACAGGTGAAATGTTTTCAAGAAACTGAAGTCAGTCCAGTTACCCACTATTGAAATATTTCGGATATACAGTAAAAGCAAATGTTCAGGCCTTGCATAAATTATCATGACAAATGCAATGCAACATGAACTCAGTCTGAAGAAAGAGTAGTATAAACCTTACCATTCATACAGGCAGCCTCACAGACCTGTTCACTCCATTTGATTTTTGTACTTAGTAATGGCTAGCTCAGTGGTTCTCAAACCTTTTCGTTCTGTTTTGATTTAACAAAAAATCTCATCAAATTACATTTCAAACTTATCAAACTAACACCAAGTATGGTCATATTTTATAATAAAACAATAAATAACATCAAAGAAAACAAAGAAAATAGAAGTGCAGTTGTGCCATCATTACTTGAACCATAAAAGAATTTCCTCAGGTTTGTCCGGCCCCACTTATCATGTCTCTGTTCCCCACTAGTGGGCCCCACCTCACACTTTGAGAAGCTCTAGCTCAATCCAAAGTTCCTCAGTAATGCTTGATACTGATAGAACTGATCACTGGGAAAAGATGCAAAAGGAGCAAAAGCAACTCAGTACCTTTTCAAGTGCTCCAGGAGCAAGCAGCTGTTTGAAGTCATCTGAAATTGGAGAAGAAATCAGAATTTCTCTTTTGGAGAAGAATTTCTCTAGGTGTATTCAGAGGTCAGAGCTTCTTCAACAGCAGCTACAACACAGAACTGTAGAGGCACAGCTGTCAAGGGAAACAGAGGCATGTGGCTGCCTCTAAACTCAGTCAGAGTGAGTAAAACTTTGCTCATTGTTTCTTTTGTGTTACATTGCATTTGTTTTGACACTATACCAGCAGTTTAGCAATGGTCCATTTCTTAAATTAAACCAAGTTGGCAACTGTTGTTGGCACTAGCAGCTAACCTGGTTAGCCTGCCTTGTTAGCTGCTAGCTCTAACTAAATGATTGTTCCAGTACAAGCCAGGCATCTTTTGCAAATTACAAAGTAAAATGCTACCTTGGTACATGTTAGATAAACACTGTATCTGTTTGTCTGTGGTATTTTCTCACTGTTTCTGACTGTTCTCTGTGAGCTCCAACGACAGTGCTATGCTAAGATGATGCTAAAATATTAATTGGTACAACAAATGTAGGTGCCACTTAGAAGTAAAAACCTAAACCTTAGCAAGTGAACATTTCAGTCAGTGAACAACTCATGTTGAAACATTAACCTGAGAATAGCATACAATACAATCATCTCTGGACTCTGGAGATTTTGGACATTAGCTCTGATGGACTTGGTCTTCTCCGGACTGTGTTGTCTGGGTCTTGGCAGAGCCGGCGGGTTGGATTTAGGGCTGATGTTTTAACTGGACTTTTCTTTAATACATTTTATGAATGATATTACATTTATGGCAGCAGTGTGAGACGTTTTAAAGCTGATTGGATTGCCTTTCACGGACAGTTTCACCAACTCCTCACAGCAAAATACATAACTACTTCTGCTCTTTTTTTCTGTCCCTCGCTGTCAACTTCATCACATGGTTGCATTTCCTCTAAGAGTGAACCAGTGCGTTTATTTTGCGTTTTCCTCCTTCACACAAGCCCTCTCTTAATCTCATCAGAGCTACGCTTTTCTCATTCATGAAACGTAAACGATGTGACAGCTGCACAGGAATCGTTGTGCCATAATTAATTATGAAAGAAATACTATTGTGATTATTATTATTACCAGTGTATATTCAAATGCTGTGTTGCTTTTACGGTATCTTGAAGTATTTTAATTACTTGTTTCAATTTATGAGATATAGCTGTTTTTTCAGACTCGGTACAGTCATAGCAGAAATGTCCCCGGTTTATAATGTGTAACTAACAGACACATGTTGCTAATAAAATGGTGTGAACATCTTTATTATCTATGCTATTGCTTTATATACGTATATATATATATATATCAAGGCAAAGAGTGACCATTTTGAATCAGGATTAATCACATGACTTCGCAATTAACCATGATTAATTGCACTTTCGTTACAAGTTTATGTGAATGAAAGTGCTATGCCATTTGTGCGAACACTTTTAACATCAGCATGTTTTGTAAAGTAGCAGTTAAATTAAACATTTAGTGTGAATCTCAACTTAAACATTTATGTTATCTTATTTGTTATATAAATAAACTGCCCACAAAATCCTGAACCACAATCATAACATTTACACAGGCAATTTCTGGGGTAACAGCAGAAACACGATTCTTTTACCAGGGACCAGTCTATGATTACTACCAAATGTATCTGAGTGAGATGAAGCACCAAAAAGTTCACAGCTGGGATGTACTGTGGGGGTGACCAGTCAGTAAAGTCCATGTTTAATTTGGATTTCACTGCACCTTCTCGTCTTTCTGTCTCGATTGCGTCTCTAAGGACGTACGGCACTAGTGTTTATACCAGTGATGCTGGTGTCAGCACTGCACAGTCCCAAACAGCTAATGCTAGTGGCCACATTTGTGGAATATTTATTTTGTTTCCAGAAAACTTATTCTGGAGGTCTTCTCCATTTTGTACACTAAGGGGTGTTGTAAGGTCAGAAACACTGGGGGTGCAGGGCTTTTCAGTGTTTCCCATATGCTTATGAGAACTCGACTGAAGCGACATAATGGTGTCTTGTTGTCATTTTTCTCAGTTTTCCAGCATGTATAACTGCAGCCACCGAGCGATACCTGTTACATTTACACTGGTGATGCTGTTGTCAACGCTCCATAGTGCTAATAGCTAATGGCGGTGTTTACACCGGTGTCAGCTGTTAGCACCTAACTATAAGCTCTTAACTATAAATATTTCTACATTTTCTGCTAAAGAATAAAGAATAAAGTTGATTATTTACATCTGTTCATGCTTTAAGGGGGAAATAAATATTTTACGATTTCCCCCTTAAAGCATGAAATAATATTATATTATTACTGCAGGTACCAAAAGTTGTATCCTCTAAACAGTATATTCTGCTGTAAGTGAGACTATGTAAGAAGAACAGCACAATCCTCTCATCATCCTTTGTGTTTTTAAGGTCAAACACGAGGTGTGATGAAAACAAATTTGAAGGGAGTTAAGAGTCTGTCAACATTTGGTCTACAACACATGCAATAAAGTCTCTTTGTACAGTTTTGGCCCTGGGGAAAAGAATGATATTGTGCCTGATAACCTGTTCAAACAGGAGAGAACAAATGGAGAGAGAATGGGACACTTAAGAAAGACAATAAACCTCTCTAACAGAGTAGAGAAGGTGGTAGTTACAATAAAACGCCACTTGTTCTGGAACATCATGAGGCCGGAAACAGGAAGTTTAATGCCGACAACAAACCGAGTAAGTCTGTAGAGTCTTTAAAAAAGAAAAAAAAAACTATTCAGAGCTGTAATAGAGGTAGTTATTAGAAGGATGAGTCATAGCTAATAAATGAGGAATTGCACATAGCACAGACAGATGGAGGCGTACGGGGGAGCTGATATCAAACCCAGTCCTCACTGGCACAGACACAAATAGCCCTTTTATGATAGCATTAATACAACAGCGCTTCTGTAGACATGAAAACCCTTTCACACTGATGACGGACTCACTCTCATGTTCATATATTCAAACTCACCCACTTATTTCTCCATAAATTGCAAGTGGAGATCACAGTGGCATTCCACCCACCAGACAATTTTTGTGTGTGCTCATTAAAGTCATTGTGATTGATATAGAATATAAATAGGCCCACTTGATTGGCTGAGAGCATAGAGTGTAGGCGAGAAGATGCCTGTGTATTAATTTTAATTGTTGAAAATATATGGGCATAGAGTTGTGCAGTGGTAGGATTCCAGTCTGCCATTCAAACGGCTCCAGGACTGGAGTCCTGAGTCAGGAACTCTGCCATGTCACTATGCCGACTAGCACTGTTGTGACCTCTGACCTCTGATTCAAAGGGCAAGTCAAATGTGATTCTCCTTCTTCTCAAAATGTATATTTAATGATATCACCATCAACCAGGCCCCTATTGGCTGGTTTAGCCATCAATCATATACGCTTTCTGCTTAAATGTGATGTTCTTTATCATCTACTTTTCCTCTAAATGGGATTGTAATTTGCAAAATATATGTTGAAGAACCAATAAACCTGCTATATGGGAGTAAAATAAAATCTTCTGAAAATATAATACTTCTTCAAGTTTATTATAGTCAGACAGCAAGTTTTTACCTCATCATGTTCTGATGGTGAACTTTGTGTCACATGACATGTTTGGAGCTGTGACCACTGCCAGGTTACGTTACCTTTAAATATCAAAATTTTAAAGAGTTATCAAAGAGTTTTCAAAAAAAAATCAATTCTTCATGGTTCAAATTCATCGATTCATTCCTATTAAAGTTAGCCTGTTTGACTGTCATCCACCTAACAATTTGAAAACCATTTAGCTTTTCGTGTTTTTCCAATCATCTTCTTGTTGATTTTGTACATTCGTATCTGCTTCTATAAAATGCTGTGTCTGCTGTACTCTGTATGAGGAAATGCTTACACAAACTACATTCATTATTTAACACCTTAATCATCTCTTGGTCTAAAAGCAAAGTTTATAGCATAGCTTTTAGCGATGTTTCGATGTTTCATGACTTACTCTAAATTCTTCCTCCTCATCTCTCTGGCCTTGCACTCCCTCTCCGTCCACTATTTTCACACACCTCTCTTTCACAGTGCTCCCGGTTTGTCATATGACATGTTGTGTGTACAGTATGTGTGTGTGTGTGTGTTTCTGTTTTATGGCTCCTACCCATAGTTCTCTGGCACTGGGATTTAGCTGCAGCGCAGGGACTTGATGAATTATGAACAGGAAAGACAAGAGGCATTCTATCTAATATTACAAACCTAAGCTCCCTCTCCCTCCCTTTTCTCATCCTCCTCCTCCTTTCACTCCTCTCCATCCCCTACCACCTCCACGTCCTCTTATTTTCCTGCTGTCTCAACCTTCTGCCCCTTCGCTATCATCTATCTCAAGTGTCTTTAATCTCCCTCTGCTCGGCTTTTCTGTTCCGTTTTCTTCACTTTAACAATCCAGCCTTGTGACATAACCTAATTGAATGGCTAACAGTGGAAGATGAATGGTAATAGATTAGATTAGAAGCATAGCGTCGTGAAATGTTAGAAAGGTTCTCTAATAAGCAGATATTATTTTCTGTGTATTTTTATGTTTGGTAATTTGGTCATACAAAATCAAACAAAATTATGACTTTTATTTAAATTGGCTTTTTTTGTTGTTGCATCCACATAATAAAAATGGTATCACCCAATCATGCCTCATACATTCAACATTGAACTATGGCTATCATTGGCCAACATCTGGTAAGCAGTGTTCTGTGTGTGGTCATATTTAAACCAGTTATTTGTTCCAAAATAGTTCCAAAATACCTTTTTTATGGCCCATAGTTGTGACCCAGATCAACATATGTGGGCCACTAAAGACCTTAGCTAAGTAAAATACTTTGGAAATGGTCCATCAAGGAGTGAAACCAATGTGCTATCCATGAAAGAAAACCAGTGTGCTAATCACATGAATAGTAATGCTCTCTAATCAAAATACAAATGAAAATTGTGTAGACCGACTCACACTGTTGGTGAAACGAATGCTTTTATACCAGCTGTTTTTCAAACGTTACACAGAACACACACGATTCATGTATGTATGTATGTGTGAACCTAAAAGGAGGTATTACATTGTTTTCCCGGCTGAATCTTCCATTTCTATCTCTGTAGAACAAGTGATGAATAAGAAATGAAGCCTGAGCACATAAGATAAGAATGGACTTGGTTTTATGCATTTCCAACCCATCAACCCTCTGTAGTTGTACAATTTGTCTGTCTTTATCTTTCTCATTCCCAATTTTATGAACCCCATTCATCTGAGGTTTACGGCCCAATTTCTTTGGTAATGTTCCTCTTTTTCTCCCCTACCTGCCCAGTTATGTGAAAGAACTCTACACTCTATAATACATTAGTTGTGAATAGGCCAGAAATGCAGCTTGGTCGTTGAGAAATTCACACTGGCTTCAATTTAGTTTGGCACAGGCCACAATATCACCCTGATTATGTAATATTCTCAGTCAAGAAGTGTGTGGGTTGTTTCAGACGGAGGGTGGCAGAGAGACAGAGCATGTACAGTACTGTACGTCCTTAGAGAGGCAATCGAGACAGAAAGACGAGAAGGTGTCAAACAAAGCCAACAGCCTTTATGGTATTTTGTCGCCATCTGGTGGCTATTGAAGACCAGCAATACCAAAACAATACCACGTAGAGTTGACTAAATAACTACTGTGTTCCATCTGTCTGTGCTATGTGCAATTCCTCATTTATTAGCTATGACTCATCCTTCTAATAACTACCTCTATTACAGCTCTGAATAGTTTTTTTTTTCTTTTTTAAAGACTCTACAGACTTACTCGGTTTGTTGTCGGCATTAAACTTCCTGTTTCCGGCCTCATGATGTTCAGAACAAGTGGCGTTTTATTGTAACTACCACCTTCTCTACTCTGTTAGAGAGGTTTATTGTCTTTCTTAAGTGTCCCATTCTCTCTCCATTTGTTCTCTCCTGTTTGAACAGGTTATCAGGCACAATATCATTCTTTTCCCCAGGGCCAAAACTGTACAAAGAGACTTTATTGCATGTGTTGTAGACCAAATGTTGACAGACTCTTAACTCCCTTCAAATTTGTTTTCATCACACCTCGTGTTTGACCTTAAAAACACAAAGGATGATGAGAGGATTGTGCTGTTCTTCTTACATAGTCTCACTTACAGCAGAATATACTGTTTAGAGGATACAACTTTTGGTACCTGCAGTAATAATATAATTTCATGCTTTAAGGGGGGAATCGTAAAATATTTATTTCCCCCTTAAAGCATGAACAGATGTAAATAATCAACTTTATTCTTTATTCTTTAGCAGAAAATGTAGAAATATTTATAGTTAAGAGCTTATAGTTAGGTGCTAACAGCTGACACCGGTGTAAACACCGCCATTAGCTATTAGCACTATGGAGCGTTGACAACAGCATCACCAGTGTAAATGTAACAGGTATCGCTCGGTGGCTGCAGTTATACATGCTGGAAAACTGAGAAAAATGACAACAAGACACCATTATGTCGCTTCAGTCAAGTTCTCATAAGCATATGGGAAACACTGAAAAGCCCTGCACCCCCAGTGTTTCTGACCTTACAACACCCCTTAGTGTACAAAATGGAGAAGACCTCCAGAATAAGTTTTCTGGAAACAAAATAAATATTCCACAAATGTGGCCACTAGCATTAGCTGTTTGGGACTATGCAGTGCTGACACCAGCATCACTGGTATAAACACTAGTGCCGTACGTCCTTAGAGACGCAATCGAGACAGAAAGACGAGAAGGTGTCAAACAAAGCCAACAGCCTTTATGGTGTTTTTTCGCCATCTGGTGGCTATTGAAGACCAGCACTACCAAAACAATACCACGTAGAGTTGACTAAATAACTACTCAATCAAAAGTATACCAAAATAATAAAGTCAGGGTTTTTCAGAATATTAGGCTAGTGTTTGCAAACATAGAGGGTATAGAATGCCGACATCAGCCTGTAGGGAGCAGGCTAACGTACCATTGATTTCCAGCATTGTATTTAAACCAGATTTTAAATAATATGCTTATCAAAACGTGTTTTTGTGTTATATTATCCTAATGAATTAATACAACTTTTTCCCCCCACAAAAACAACCTAACCACTAGTCATTCCCTAGTTGTCAATTACAAATGTGGAAGAAATTGTGTAGAAATGAAAAAAGTAATATCGACCTTAAGGCCCGTTGTCAGAAATAGGCTCGACACTTCATTTAACGCTGTCCTGAAATATGCTTATAGCAGAAATCCTCAATATATTCAGTCCTCATCCCTAAAGCCTGCATTTAGCCAAAATCTACATCTCCCACAACACACGGCAATTTTGGGACCTGTCACTGAGATTGACAACCCAGAATAATAAGAGTTCAATGAAAATGATGCATAACAATAATAAACAAGACAATTATTATAGCAGTACATACTGCTCTTTACTTTACAGCCTACAGTAGCCTACAATAGCCCACACAGCATTCTTTTTTATATGACGACTTTTTAAGTTATTTGAAGTGTAAACTAAGTGCATGAACATTCAATGACTTAGTCACGGATCAGTTTACTACAATGGGAATTTAAAGTGTAATTTAGATAAATCACTATTTTCTATTAATTGTTGTATACGTTGTTGTTATTTATATGGTTTCCAGCACGGTTTACTGTCCTTGAACGCATCTCGCCCACCATTTTGGCCTCTAAGTCCCGCCCAACAGATTTTGTAACCAATCACATTGTACCTTTGTAAGCGTTTTGACGTCAGCCGCGAAATGCAAAATCTCCAACAGCAGTTAAACGTATTACAAAAAACTTTTATTTGATTTTCACCAAAATATTCGACACAACATGACTGAAACACAGCCGAATGAAACCCATAACATCGATAGTTGTTTGACTTCCACCCCAGTGTCCAAGGACTCGAAAACAGTAGCACTGAGAAGGTAAGGCTACACTTAACTTCACTTTTTAGCTAGGCCGCTTACATTGATACTCAATGTGTATTTAAGTGACAAAGACAGACAAAAGGTCGAATTTGTTTACAGAGGGGAAGTGAGGAGTTGCTAGTCGATGGTCCCTTGTTCTAAACCTGATCTAATAAAAGCGTTCACGGATAGAAAATATCGACTAAAACCCACGTAGTTTTCTTTGTCACTGATAAATCATTCAACATTTGTACCTGTTATATCTCCTGTCTTTGATATTTTTGCTCTGCTTTTTCCTCAGAACTCCTTTTTCAAAGTCTAAAAAGGTCAATTCAAGCTTTAAGTCACCTGTAAGTTAAAAACGTGTTCTGCATGTAGCACAAACTTGCAAATACACACACACACATATATACATATATAAATACATATAAACTGGAGTATATCAGTGTTATATTGACTTTGTATGTCATTGTTGTCTGTTTCTGCCTCATAGGTTCAGTTGGCTGGAAATAGTAATGTCAGTCCTGCAGACGAGCTGACTGAGCTGGAGAGGAGGAGACAGCAGCTGGACAAGGAGATCACACAGCTGGAGGCAGAGTGAGTACAGCTGTGTATGTTTGTGTTGTTCTGTTTTCTGATCATGTATTTAAATTAAAACAGTGGGGTTAGCTATACTGATGCATGTAATGTTGAGCTTCAATACAGCAAGACATTTGCTCTTGTATTTGTTTTTGTGAAACATTTGTTTGTTTTCAGGGGATACAGAGTGGACGAGCTGGAGCGGCACATTGATCTGCTGCATGAGTACAATGACATCAAAGATGTTGGACAATCCCTCCTGGGACGTATAGGTACTATTTACATAATATATCTATTATCTTTGTGTTCATTTGTTTGTATGTCCCTAATGCAATAATGATAGTCAGCTTGCAAATAGAAAAAATAGAATCCAACCGTCCATTTTCATCTGCTTATCTATTACCGGGTTGCGGGGGCAGCAGTCTCCATGACAGCCACCCAAATCACACTACACCATACCAACCCCCCCAAACCTTCCTGCGAGTGGTGAGTCCACTGGAAGGTACCAACTGCCCTAACAGGGATGCTATATTGCCCAGGTGGTGAACCCTGGGGTTCCACACCAATGACAGAGATATTGCCTCTGGGTCAAAGCGCCACATAAATGGAATACAATATGTTTCTATGACGCCATCTTTGATGGTTTCTTCATAAAAACAATATAACACTTAAAATGAAAGTGAAAATAAATTATTCGTCATTGTGAAATAGCACACCACTGCACACAATGAAATGTGATCTCTGCTTTTTAGCCATCACTAAAATGAACAGGGGGCAGATTTAAAGGCCCGGCGAGCAGTGTGTGGGGACGGTGCCATGCTCAGAGCACTAACAGTAAATACAATGTGCATTACCATTGTCACTAGTAACTTTTACCTGTGTTTCAGAAATGTTGAACCTGAAAAGAGATATATACAGTATACATATATATAGGCTATATCTTTAATTTATAGCAAATTTTTAGCAAAATGCTGTGGTTTACTGTGTCAAACGCAGCAGATGGGTCCAGAAGGGTAAGTACGGAGGACAGGCCAGCAGCTTTAGCTATTCTTAGAGCTTCTGTCATAGATAGCAGAGCCATTTCCATGGAGTGGCCACTTTTGATACCAGACTGGTTTGTGTCCAGACTGTTTTCATGAGAGTGACTTGTTTAAAGATCACCCGTTCGATTGCTTTAGATAGGAAAAGAAGTAGTACTGGCCTATAGTTCTCAATCTGGGTGGGATTGAGTGAGGGTTTCTTTAGTAGCAGCATCACTCCTGCCTGTTTGAAGGTAGATGGAAAGGGACCTGATGTAAGTAAGGCATTGATCACGCTTGTGACTGCTGGGCACACTAGGGGTTATGGCTTGGAGGAGAGTTGTATATATACAATATACATATATATATATACATATATATATGTGTGTGTATATATATGTGTGTGTATATATATATATATATATATATATGTGTGTGTATATATATATATATATATATATGTGTGTGTGTGTATATACACACACACACACATATATTCAGAAGTAGGCCTTGCTGATTCACTTCTTTCTCTAAAGGTAATTGTCTGGATGTTGTTATTGCAGTTATCCACTAGAGAGCAGTATAGTTAAATGTTTTAAAATTGTCCCCTAGGCTGAATGAAAGTCCTGTATTTCACGCTATAGAACCACACTGTATTACTATGACGGTTTACTCATTTTTTTAATGACAATAACCAAGTGTTAGATTATTTAACCCTTGGTATGTTGTTACCAGTTGTCAAATAAGTTATACATAGTTTCCTCCCTAAATGAATTGAAACACCACTGGAGTCCACACCTTTTTGTTTTAAAGATTCAGTAACTTAGGTCTTTTGTCTTCATTTTGCTCACCTGCTCCTCACAACCAAAAAAAAAGCACCACACAGAATGAGGTTCTCAGTTTTATTTGGTGTGTATTTATTTCTAAGTGTGTCTGTTCCATTCGTGTGTTGCAACTCCATGAATTACACAAGCTGTTTCCGCTGTTTGGGAAAAAAAAGTGCTATGAAGCACAGTTAGGTCAAAGTGTCATGTGTGCAGAGACAATGACAAACATGACTTCTCACCCACATTGTCATGTGTGGGCTCGTGTTGATTAGCTCAAATGTCATCTATCCTCCATTCCTTTGAAAACTGTTAACTGCTGCGTGCTAACAGCAATGTGAGCTCACAGCTCCGTATCTCTTTAAATTCTCTACAGTAGATGATAATGACATCTCATTGAATGGAGATGGCGTTTCCCCTCTGACACAATGACAGTCTTTCACCACACATCACTTTTAGACACACTCATTTACAATTACAATCACTGTGTGCCTGCGTACGCTACTGCATGCACAAAGTGATAAATGCAAGCACATGCTATTATCCTCTCTTTAGTCCTCTCCCTGTTTACTCCTTCTGTCCCTCACTGACGTTTAAACACACACACACATACGCGTGCATGCAGACACAGTTTGACAAAGAGGTTTCACTGTAACACTGCTGTGTTGAACTCTATGCTGTTATGCTGAGAGGGAGGAGATCAGTGGGCCGGCTGTGGAGTGAGACGGGAGACAAGTGGAGATGCCCTGCAGTACCCTCTCTCCACAACTGTCCCTTTGTCCCGTGCCACGTCCTGCTGTACATCTGTGGGTCAGAGCTTAGGTCACTGTAACTTAGAGCCAGTGTTCTGTCAGATTTGTACACCCTGTCAGAATTTTATACCTATGGTTTTATGGTATACTTTCCTAGTAGGTGAATTGTACCTATCGTAGAAAAGAATTAGAAGTGGAATCTTTATTAGTGTCCTGCATTCTAGCATAAGAATTTGATACAGTGGAACACCAGCCTTTTTTGCTGAAAGAATGTAAGCTAATCACATTTACAAATATTGTAACACTATGTATTAGATAGTTGGTAAAATACAATCCAAAACATAAATCTTCCTTGTCATAAGGTTGAACCTCTTTTTTTGTTTAATTATCAGACCTGAATGAATGAAATATATTTTACGAGTTTTTCTTGTCATGGCAGACTTAAGCTTCAATGACAGGCAGATCAGGACAATGAAGCAACAATGAGTTCCAATAGTGACCCATTTCCCATGTAATGTCTGTCCACTAGATCAACATGTTGGTTTGTGATGCAGTGTCACCTAAGGGTCTGATTTTGATGCACATTCAGCAGTAGTTTCCACCCTCAGCTTTTCACACAGAAACATTTTAAACAGGTTAACATTTGCTTAACATTTGCTTAACAATTCACAGCTAAAGTTACAGAGTTCTTGGCTAATTGCATTTTAGGAAGTGTACCAACCAGATGATGTGATAATGACACTTGGTCACTAAATGAAGAAACAGAACATTAAATTGACTCCAATAATGGCATTCCATTATCCATTCATGATAGATTATAAATCAGAGTTTATATATTGAACTGTACATAAAAACAAAGTTGTGACGCCGTACATCACATCTCAGTTCTGCACTAGTTTGATTAGAGCTGTGGTTCCCTACTATTGTGGCTTGTGACCCAATTTTGACATCACAAACTTCTGGCAACCCCAGAGACTATGTTTTGGCCAGATTTTTTTTTATCAATTACTCGACATTCGAGATGTCCCAATTGTAATTCCAGGCGAGCCCAAGGTTGAAAAACACTGAGATAAGGGGGGTGAAAGAACTATAAACATAAGGTTTATGTGCCAGCAGAATAATCAGCTGTTCTCGTTGGTAGGATGAGGAACAAAAATGTGATCTGGTCTTTGTCAGCTTGATGTTTTGAGAAGTTTATTAACAGGGAGACAGGAGGAAGTTGTAACACGGTTCATTTGGAGGCCCTCACTCCCACTCTGCTGTGTGTTGCAGCTGCTCTGAGAGGGACCACCACACGGGATCTCTACAGTCACTTTGGTCTGGATCTGGAAGACTGAAAAGAAAACCACCAAAAAGCAGCATGAGCAGTCGCTCACATACTGATTTATAAATCATTTTTTTCTCGCAGGTATGCTGTAAATAAACCAGAGATTTTTTTTGTTTGTTTTAAGCGGTTCTATTAAACAAACATTCTTAACCAACATTGCAGTATTGCCCTTACTGTGGTAATGAAAATAAATCTGCAAATAAAATAAAAAATCTTAAGTTCAGTCCTTTAGCTTAAACAAATTTGTGAGGAGTTGGACCTTTTTTTTTAAGTTCACACGAGCAGGAAAATAATTTATGATTTTCTCCTCAAATTACTCTTGTTTTCAGTTCTCTATAAACGCTTGTGGAGACAACTTTGAAAGGTTATGATTTGACACATGACTTTATCTTAATGGACTTTGAATGAAGCCACTCTTAAGTGATAGCTGTGTGATTATCAGTCCAGTTTGTTGGTTTGACAAATGTTCAGCAATTGCTTTTTTTTTTCAAATTGGAAGAAGTTCAACATAGCTTTCACTCTTATTGTGAGCACATTTGTTTCTTCTAAATGGCAGCATGTTGTTGTGATAAAGTCTGAGTGGAGGTTGTGTTGCTCATTATTTACTGTTATTTCTCTAGGATCCTGTGAGAGAAAGAGTTTTTTTTAAGAAATGAAAAGTTTTCTGTAATATGTTTTTATCGTCTTTCACACATTCACATCGAGTAAACTGGGTGTACCCTTATCGGCCTGGGAGCCACTGATAGAGCATCTTTGTGGACTGATAGCAGCTGATGAGCTCTGATCATGATGCTGTTGTTTGACTGTTGACACTGTGTGTTCTGCGTTAGGGCATTTGGAAAGGAGTGGGTGTGTGCATGCACCATTACCACACATTTGTAGATCAAAGCTCATCTTGTTCTCTTATCCTAATCTTTAGACTACTTATCAGGCCGATTAAACATCTCATACAGTGTAAAAGGTGTAAGGTGTAAAAGGTGGAGACAAAGTGATCTGTCTCTGCTGGGGTCAGAGATGTTAACTGTATGAGGTGGTAAGAGTGGCAGTACTTTGCTCTGTGGTCATGTCTTGATAAAGTGCAACGTTGCTGTTACTTTACACTCTGCTCAGCTTTTCTGACCTTCAGCCTTTGGCTACACTGACTCATTTGTAGTATTCTTATCATAATCTTAAGAATACAATGCTTACAATGACACGTTACTAGGCTGGAAAGCAAATGTGAGTATAAGCACATTTCCTATCACCTACAATATGTGTCCCGCTGTTACTTTGCAAGAACTACCTGATTTTTGTATGTGTATGTAATGTATGCACTATATTAAGATTAAGGAGTGCTGATTCTTATATATAGTGTCGTGTATATACAGTATATTAAACCGTTCAGTACTGTGGTCTCGGTTCGGTACGCATTATCAATCAAACCATAGCAATTTCTTCTGGCCACGTCGCACTCAGTGCTGAAAGCACCACTCTGCACTCGACTACTCCACCTTAGGCTGCATTGTTGAGTGCCTATCCACTAAGCTGTGCCTGCCACAATCATTTAAACCAAGGGGTGACATGTGAAACTACCTTCAAAAATTTTTAAGGTGGTCTTTTCTTTAATAAGGAACAAAACACTGGTCCTGATCATTGAAGATTTTGTTTTGATATCTTTATTTATGATTTCTGAATAAGCTAGCTTTTGTTCATTTAGTGAGTTGTTTCTTTGCAATATATACTCTGCTGCTAAGAATGCACCACAGAAGATTGATGACTTATCAGATGTTTTCATTTTATTAATATTGTTTTTACAAGATGCGGTTACAGAAAATAAGGCTGGTATAGCCGCACCTGATATATTTAATTCAAATTAAAAACTTTAATATTGAGTTGAAACAAATACTGGATATTTCCATAAACTGCAAATGAAAAAGGCAGACATTGAGGGTGGACTTTAGAGGACCTTTTCTGACCCATGTGCTGCAGCCTCTTCATGATCCTGCCATAAAGCAGAGAGTACATGAGTTTTTATAGACAAACATTTTTGCTTATGAGCTTCTCACACCACCCAACTTCAAACTACTATCTATTCATTCAAATTAAAAAACATGGCCATTGCTGCTGCCATGTCTGGATTGATATTAATGTAAAACCTGTGTCTATATATTTCTGCAAATTTAAATGTTGATGAAACTTAGAAACATTGATACATTTTGTTGTATCCTAGTTCAGTTTTGTTTATGCTGACGTTGACACTGTGCAGTATTAAAGACTGCTGTGAGTAGTAAAGTCCCTTTCTGATGTAAGCAGTAAATGCAAATATAAATCTTTAAATCGGTGTGAACATCACGAAGATTCTTGCAGGCAGGGCTACGCCGCATTTCCTCCTCAGCAGTGCCGCAAACCCCGCCTTCAGCCGGATGGGACATGTCAAGTAAATGGCAGTCTTCTATTGGTCATAGGCCACGCCCGTCAGCGCTTATGCCTGACACCACATTCGCGACGTAGACCGCGGTGGGCGGGTGCAAAATTATAAGGTCATTTGAATTACGCTTTGCTAGCGAGGCCCTACCGGCCACAATGGTTCTAGAAACGATCTCAGTAACTGTGGCTGTAAACAGCTGATGACTACTGGGGTCAAAGTTGATGCGGAGATACACTGACTCCAGATCAGCCTGAGGAGAGGAGGGAAGCTCAGAGGAGCCGTGAGCTGTTAACGAGAAAGAGGGGATCCCGGTGCGTGTGTCTGATCGTGTGGCTGTCACACCAGGCGAGCGGCGATTGAGAGGTAGCAGAGGAGGAGGAGG